TGACGTGATGACGTAGTGGACACAGTTAGTTAAATTATATAAAAAATTGAGTTAGAATGTACCTCAGGAAAACCAAAGTGGATTTTTGATTGTGAATTACTTTTGCGAATGTGGTTGCTTATCGGTAGCTCGTTTTGGTCGGATCACTTCGCATATCCATTGTATATATCTGCGGTTAAACAGGAAAGAGCTGCTTATCGTTACTTTATAAATGACAACGGAAAGAGACATTCTGCTCTAACTTCCTCACTCACGTTAATTTATCTCGAGTTCGTGTTTTACCTAAGATTAAACGCGCAATTCTTTTTAAATTTACGGAATCCAAACTAATTTACTTAATGTTAATTAACGGCTGTGCCATTGGTAAGCAGCTTATTTTGAAACTATCGTACAAAAGTAGCCAATGTATGTGAAAGAATAGCAACTGGGCTTCAATGGCCACTCAAATGGCTCAAATAGCATGCGATATGCGCATCATAAAGAAGATGATAAAAGGAGTCTATGGACCTACAGTGGAGCCCTGAAGGAAGACGAAGAAAGATCAGATTATCAACCAAATTATCAGATAAAATAAAAAATATTTCACTGTTAACTGCAAATAGAATCGCCCAACCAGAGTAGATAAGATATTAAAAGTATATCTAGCAATGAATCTAGTGACTATGCTGAGAGAAAGATAATGAACATGTTCTAAATGGTTAACTACTAGTGACCGATATCAACTATAGGCACAATACTTTTAAACAGTTTTCAATAAACATTATTGACTGATAACGTCACAAGTTTACCAATGACCAGTAATAAATAATTTCTAAATTCAAATCAATTAATTCATACCTATAACAGGCAATATTTAGTTTTCCTTTCTTCGAGATATCATTTGCAAGCGAGGAATTTTAAAACAGAGATTGGTTTGCCTGCAAGCAACAAGCACAGATATTACGATGGTTTCTTAATTGAATTCCAGTGTATTTGTTATTTTAAATTAAGTTCGAAATTACATCAAACAGTCGACAATTTGACCGGGGAGATTTCTCGAGGAGATTTAATTAAAATTCTTGGTCTGTTTTCAGGTCGATATCGTAATATTTGGATCACGTATAATAGGGGATAAGCATCGAACATAAATTATGCCTCTTAACATACAAAATTTGTTACAATGCAATAAAGCAAGTGAAAATTGGTTATTTGATTTTTTAACGATTATTTTGTGAAAAAATCATATTTTTAATTGTTTAAGTACATGTTTTTTGCAATCGGTACGCTGGAATTCGCACGATTCGTTCGTGCTTGGCACGATTCGCTGTTGGTCGATGATCTAGTGGGTGTCCTCTTGTATTAGTCAATACTTATTATATTTTGTTACCTGGAACAAAATATAATAAGTAGTAGTATAATAAGTATAATAAGTAGTAGTGTAGTCAGCCAGTATTTTTTCCGTTAAATAAACATTAGTTAAGCTCAATACATCCGAGACAATCTTCAGGCTGTCAATGGCACGGAATCTTAAAACACGTCTAGATTTAAACGTTCCGGTACCGTAATGCAATCCCGGCTCGACTCCAGTCGGGTCTCGGGTGCCGGGATTATACGGCGCGCAGTGGGATTAGAACGGGGACAATGAGGGATCATTAGGTGACAGATGGACTTCAGATTCAGGTTTTTTCATAATGCGAAAAAAAAAACAGCTTTTGTTTATTTATGTTGTGCTGGCATTACGCAGACTAACGTCCTATTTAATATTGCATTTACCTTAAATATTTCTGGCTCTATTTTAACCCTACAACATTGTAATATTCTCATCTAATGATAGTGTAGAAAATTTAATTTATGCGTATTATTTTATCAACTAGCTTTCTGCCAGCGGCTTCGCCCGCGTAGGGAACAATTTAGTGGGATAAAAAGTATCCTATTATCTTATTCAGCTAATACCCTATCTGTATACTGTATAATTTCATCAAAATCCGTTCAGTAGTTTCGGCGTGATTGATGGACAAACCTGCAAACAAAGAATCTTTTACATTTATAATATTAGTACTAGGATTTCTACTACTAACCCTAAAGCAACTTTTATAGGTCGAAGCTGAAAAATCAGTAGTTTACTTCATACGAAAACATTACTGAGCTTTTGCTGCCTTTTTGCTTTGCTCCGCTACACATACTGACTTGCATGTGTCATTTACTAAAAGATCTTTTCTTCACACGTATAATTAGTATGTGCATTTGATATATAAAAAATATTCATTCACAGATTTTTTCCTAAAAAATGTTATTGATAAATAAATATCTGTTTACTTAACCGTAATACCTATCTATCTATGTTTAAAGTATGAATAATGATCATTCGATAAAAGCATAATGACATCTCTTTAGTTTTCTGGCTACCTGGTATCCCCATGCGGATAATTTATACAATTTGCATGATTCCCTCTCGACCGTGTCATCAGAGGTTTAGCGGAACTCATAAAATGACATGAATAAAAATGGCGCAGCTCAGAATTATTTTTCAACAGCCAAGAATTTAGTCCCTCTTTTTGTTAATAAGAGTAAAATGTTTTTAGTATAGATGCAATTTAGGAGAAAGTGTCTTGTGAGATGTTTTTTGTTACATCGTAGAGTATGAAATGCCTCATTTTGCTTTTTCTAGTAAAGATTTACTAAGGTATTAGTTGTACTATTAGTTAATGACTTAAATACATAAAAAAAACAATGCATAAAATTAAGACAAGATATTGTTTGTAGACTTTTTAATATTAAATGTTTATTATTGCTATAAAAGCTGTTATTTTAGGTAGAGTTAATATTACTGGCATCCATAAGTTCGCTGAGGTATTTTGTTTTATGGCTAAAGTTTTTTGAACATAGTTAGTTTCAATCAGACATACATAAAAGTCATTGTTGATAGTAACAAAGACTTAAGCTAATTCTTCCTCAAATACTTAAGGCAATTTATAGGAATGTGAATAGTTTAAATTGTATTGTACCTAATTTCTGAAATTAATTAACTAATATTTTCTATGCTCTGTAGTCGGATTAGATGCGTAGTAAAACGAAGATTTCAGTGTCATAGTTTATTTGAGGTCTTTGTGTGCCCAAAATAAAATAAAATTTAAAATAAATGCTTTGATAGTTAAATGTTATATGATTTAGGCTTACTACTATCGATTAATAAGAGTAAATCACATAAGCGACGAACTCCGCACCGGCATACTTAACAATGTAACCTTTTAGAATATGAAAATAAGTAGAGAGTACGCTTAATCTCGTAATGTCTCTTAAAAGAGTCCAATATTTTGCGTTAAATTTCCCTTTTAATCTTAGAAGATGAAGCACTCTTGAGCGTGACTTGAGGCCGTAAAGCCTTAGGTGACTTAAGAATGCAATAAGATTTCGTTTCAAACTTTTCGGGAGCTTTATTATCAATTCGTATTTTTAATCACCATTATATTTATATATATATATATATATATATATATATATATATATATATATATATATATTTTATTCCGGATGTCTAAAAATTTCTATTATTTCATTCCAAACTAGATTTACGTAATCATAATGTTTTGTTTAAAAAGAACTTTTCCACATATATATAATCCTGGTAACTTTAAACGGAAATCAGTGAGCTTCGCAAAACTGACAGGAGGAAAAATGATATTTGAAAAAGTTGTTGAGAAACTTCGGAAGCTCCCTTGTTAAGTTAACGATGACTAACAACAGAATAGTTTTTCTCAAAGGGTAGCGAGATAGTACGCACTGATGTTTATTCGTGTATATCAACAACCGTAGCGGAAACCCAAGAAATATATTTTCATATTTTCCCGAAAACTTATGCTTAGAAAGACTATTTGAACTCTTGTTTATTTTTTTTATAAAAGTATTTTTTGTATTCATCCAATGAATGTTTTTAACGAACATTTGTCAAACAGAAACAATAATTATTCGGAAACCAGATTAAAATAATAAATCGGATTTTAAATTATATTATAATTTAATATTACTTCTTCTTTAATCTTTATGATATAAACTAATGTAGTTATAGTTCATTTTTTGAAGTGAAACATGTTAAACTGGTAACTAGGTTAGATATACGTATTATGTGTGATAAAATATAGTATTAAAACTAAATTATTCAGAAGCACCGCGTGTAAATTATAACTTTGATACTTAAACATGATCCTTTGTTAAAATATTGATTAAGCAATTAAGTGTCAGTTTTAATTATTCCGTTGTTAGTTGGGTACATGAAATATTATATGTACATACATGGTCGCCGAATGTGGGTTGAGTTACGTGCTCAAATGAATTGTTAATTTGCCTTGAATTAGGATTCCCATAGTGCTGTTGTACTGAATCCCAATTATGCTAGTAATCCATTTAAATTATTAGTTATTGCATTGTCGCTCCTGTCACTAAGGCACAAAGTGAATTGCTTGTTTATCAATTTACGCAGTTTTCACTTACAATAAATTTATACACCTTTAAACCGACTTCAAAATCGAAACGGAGGAGGTTGTATATTCGACGGCGTGTTTTGTGTTTTTTATGTATGTTCACCTATGATTTCGCCAATTGTTGACCAATTATCAAAATTCTTCACGAACCGAGGTAGTCAATTTTAAATTTCTTCTTAAATTGTGAACTCATTTCTATCAAAGTAGTTGTTTCCCGACTTCTATAAAAAAAATGCCTTTGAAGTCTAGTGCCTATCATTTAACTAATAATCCACAGAAAACCTCCGCCCGTCTTTAATAGCATTTTCTTGAATAAGTCGCATTTAAGACAAGTATTATTTAACTTTTTTTTTTTAAGTTTGTAGGTGTAAGTTTTGGATAAAGATTTTTTTCTATATAATTTGAACTTTTTTGTTTAAAATAACTCTGACACATGTAAGACTTGCTTGCTTTAAGGTTTAACTTATGAAAGTTGATTACTAGGTAATACTGACACACTAGCAATGTCGGTAACTTCTGTTAAATGATTTACTTTTGTTGTAGACCTCCTGATTGAGATGCTTGGGGTGCTGGCCAGTTACAGCGTCACAGTGAAGGAGTTGAAACAGCTCTTCAACGCGATGAAGGCTGTCAACGGAAAATGGGTACGTTATTTTGTGACTTTTGTGTCTACACTTCAACTTTTTCATATTTTAATGCATCTGTGTTAGATGAGTTGATCAGACAACAATATCTACTTACAATGTATAAAACAAAAAAAAATAACTCAATACAAACATTATATATTAAATAGACAAATGATCTAGAGTTCTAACTTAATTCGAAATATAAGAATAATGTTGGTTATAAACTTTTCAATGATTCAAATAAACAATATGTCAGTTTATTTTTATACTTAATACAAGTGTAAAAACACAAAATGATTACGTGTTACCACACGTAACCATTTTATATTTAATTTGTCTAAGGCTACGCATGCACTGGCGACTTTTACTCACCGTAACTTTTTGTGTCGTGTCACCGTACCTGAGAATACTTGCGACGGCGTACGCTCTTGAAAGTGACTTCTATACAGATTACAGGAGCACGGTGACAGAATTAATGGCCAATGATGACAAAGATCACCACTGTGCGCGTAGCCTAACACTTTATGCTCTAAGCACGCTCTGCGCAGTATTCAGTTTCATAAAATAAAAAAAGTTGCACCCTTCCTTTGCTTATGCTGTCCTGGTACAAAGTGTATCAATATCCCTGGGAACGGTATAGAGAAATTCCTGATGCCGTTGCTGTTATTATGTGTTTATTTTCATAATCACAAAGTGACTTTGAAACTAAACACGTAACAGCCAGAATAGTACATCAATGTACAATATTCTGGCCGTTTTATGTTCATTTATTTATTAAATATACAGAGGTAAATAAATAGTATATCTGTTAATATCATATTCATTTAATAGGTAGTTTTATGTTACCCTTTTAATGTTGTCCTTAACTATTCATAAGGATGCTGGAAGTAAAATGAAGAACTATTTCCAATTTTCAATAACACACTGCTTGCTGGCGAAGTTAATTACTTTTTAATTGTATTTTTGTTGCACTTGGCGGAATTTTTGTCGATGCACTTGTACATCCTTGCGTTCATGCGGCTCTGATATATGAACGCGTTGATGCGAGGGCGGAATTGGTTATTGTAATTTTAAATAATATGTGTACTACTATGTAATAATGATCAGAAGTAGCGTGAGTATTATTTTATTAACGTACATAATCACATAGATGGTATTTGATGTAATATTATTAATAGCGTACCATTTCTTTTCACGAGACGCTATAGATAGGTCGTTGAATCCATTCCGTTCAATAATAAGACAGTATACTTCCCGGAGACTATGCAAAAGTATAGCGATACCTATTGTTTTCTATCAAAGCTCACAATAATACTTTATGTTATTCTCTGTTTTTCGCCTGATTTCGTTATTTATAAATACATATATTCACTTTAATTTGGCATTACTTTGGATATTAATCATTTTGCCACCGCAATTCGGGAATATATGTAACTGTTAAATGAGTCAATGGATTTTCAAACTTATGAATAACTGGAGTTTAATGTTGATTATGTAGAATCACTCTAAGTACACTTACCAATTCTAAAATATTATTTCAAAAAGCAGTATTTTACAATTAATTTCTTTTCCAGCCTCGCCATTCAGCTAAACTGCTAAACGTACTCAGACAGATGCCTCATAGAAACGGCCCTGATGTGTTCTTCAGCTTTCCCGGCAGAAAGGGTTCTGTGAGTATCAAAGATTTATTATTATTTTCTTCAGAGATCATTTGTGTCACAACAAAGCCAAATTTTTGACATGATATTCTCACGAAAATAATTGAATATTAAGAATTAAATAGGTGCCAATTAAGTCTCCAAATAATAGTAAAAAATATTTTGATTTGATTTCATATTTACTTTATTCCATAGTCATGTGTAATAAAAACTTAAACTTAAAACTTTAAAAAAATAATAAAACACACTTACTAACACTACTGCAGATATAACGTCGCAAACCTAGATTGTATAGTCTAATTTCGCAAATAGTTGCATTGCCTCTAGCGAGGTCGTGCTGAGACGCTTATATAGAATGTACATTTTCTAGTGCAATTCATATATACCTTTCCAATCTTCTTACAAAATTAACTTTTATATTTTATGGTGAGTTAGCAACAATTCAGCAAAACTTTATTTATTTAGAATTTAGCTTGAATATTTTCTAACCTTCATTTGGAACTAAACGGCAAAGATATTTATATTTTAAAAGAAATAAATAAAGACAAGTATGTAAAGTCACATTTCTGTTGTAACATGAAATTAGCTATATTTTAACTACTGGCAAATATAGTACTATTACTATAAAAATTTAGTTGTTACAAGCAAAAAAAAAGATATAACTTGGAGGCGCCGGGTATCGATCCCGGTACCTCTCGCATGCTAAGCGAGCGCTCTACCATCTGAGCTACGCCCCCTGATATATATTTAACAAAATATCGTATCAATATATTGTCTGCTATATGTCGCAACTGGTCGCATTGCCTCAAGCGAGGTCGCACCGGAATGTATATTTGGCTACTTTCTATGTACAAGTCATGAGATTAAAAATTTGTCCTATTTTATGTACTTCGTTAAATTCCATTCGAGAAATTTTCTCTTATTAATGCGTATGTTTAAAATGCCATTTGTTTGGCTTTAACTCATCGACTTTATTAATAAACTGGGTGGTGTAGTCGGTTAGCAATAAGATTGGTAAAGCGTCAATGGAAAAAAAAAAAAAATTTATACTCTTATCATAAAATAACATTAATAACAGTTCAACTTTCAATACTAACAAATGTAGCGTTAGGCTTAAATGTTCTGTAAAATAAAATGTAATTTGGAGGCGCCGGGTATCGATCCTGGTACCTCTCGCATGCTAAGCGAGCGTTCTACCATCTGAGCGACGCGCCCTGTAATACGTTCAACGAAATATAGTAAAGCATAAAAGAACTAAATTATATTATTGACCGTATTGTCTCTAGCAAGATCACCGATTTGTATTGCTTCATTCTATGATTTCAAGTATCTGCAGGATGATACAATGTTCAAGACAAAATACCAGAGAAATTTCCTATTACAAATGTATAAAAGTGTCATTTTGTATTGCATCGATAATGATTACTGAAATCTTTATATACTTAAGAGTTCTAAAGTGACTCTTTACTTGCATAGGCTTCATTGAAGACTGTGTGGCTCAATAGTATGCAACGACATATCCCTATTAATATTTGAAAATTCATAAATATTTAATAGAGAAAAAAACATACTTTTGTATTTCTTTGATAAATAACATTAAATTAATTTCATTTTCTACACTAACCAATGCGGTACACCAAATAATGTTCACAAGTAAAAAGATGTTATTTGGAGGCGCCGGGTATCGATCCCGGTACCTCTCGCATGCTAAGCGAGCGCTCTACCATCTGAGCTACGCCCCCTGTTATTTATTCAACAAAATATCGTATCATATATAGCTAAACTAATGTATATTACGCCTGGCCATATAGCCTCCAGCGAGGTCGCCCTCTCTGATTTCTGTGGCTACTTTCTACGATATCAACTACATGATATAATATCAAGGATTAAAAACCAGAGATGTTTTCTATTAAAAGTGATATAGGTACTAAGAGTTACATTTTGTGTTGCATTGATAGTGATTATTTGGAATGTTTATACACTTAAGTTTAGAGGAGACTTAATACTTATATAGCTGCAATCGAAGACTGGATGGAGTAAACCGTATGCAATGAGATATTTTTATTTTTAAAGCACTAAATAGAAAAAAAGGAAAATTTATATGATTATCATATAAACGATATTATTAGTTGCACTTTTTATACTAACAACGTAACGCTATACGTTACAATTAAATGTTTACAAGTGAAAAAAGTGACTTGGAGGCGCCGGGTATCGATCCCGGTACCTCTCGCATGCTAAGCGAGCGCTCTACCATCTGAGCTACGCCCCCTTGTTGACAAGTTTCCGAATTACTTAGTCTCTTTGTGAGTAAATCTACTTCGAATAAATATTCAACTTGCATAGCTTTGGGGCGGACGGAATCACGATGGTAATTTAAAACAGTCCGTATTACCTTTCGCTTATATGTGAACAGTATAGAAACAGAGTATTTTTTACCTTAAACTTTATATATAATGGAACGTGAATAGTTCACTCACTTTCCAAGTTCAATGTAACATATTATGATTTTTTTAAGAAAGTTGATGAAGTATACTATATAAGATTTGGATTTATGAGCTAAATTCCTTACTTTTCCGACTAATCTAGGAAATTTATGTTTACGACAGCATTTTTTATGCTAATTGTGTAACATGATGCAATTGTAATTGAACAAATGCAGACAATCCCATAAGCATTGTCACGAAAAACGGAGTAGTAGAGAGTGAAATGGGATGAAAGTTACATGAGAATTCGCAATCGTGTAATGCACTATGATATATTTTTTTAGCTTTTTATAAATTATTTTACCACGCAGGCCAAAGCAAAAAAATTAGAAGGTTGCAAATTTTTTATCTTTTACCCGCGTGCTAGCTAGTACTATAGTCTACTAAAAACGTTGCCTTGCTCCGTATTTTTTCAATAGGGTGGATTGGACACCCTTTTATCTGTATTGGTTTTTTATCACACGCACCTTCAACTCCTACATCGGTTATGTTACCCTAGTACTCATGAGAATATACTTCAACCCTTTCGTTAACCGTTAAACAAAAATATGCGTGACTTGTAAATAAAATAAGTAAGTAGTCTGCCTGCCATTGAAAAAGTAACCTTGTAAAAAAATATACGGAGTCATATTATTTGTAAAATTCATAATTGTAAATAATTTAACATAAAACATTATTTACTTTTACACATATCACATTATTTAAACATTTTAATTAACAGACGTATGTTTTTTTTATGTATGTTCACCGACATTTTCATCAATTTTTTGACCCATTTCAAAAAATCTTTTTTTTATTCTACAGTTTGATAGATCGAGGTGATCCCATTTAAATTTTATCGAAATTGATTAAGCAGTTTTCCTTTTAAAACAAAACAAAAAGCGATTTCCAACAGATATCACATAAAATAAATATTAAGATGATATGTTATGACATGGCCCATTTCAGCTAAAAACAAAAGATTGCGTGTTTAAAATTCATTGAAAATCTGATAGGAAGATTATCTATGTTCAACGTATACTGTATACTTTACTCTTTGATGTATATTATTTTATGAAAGTCATAGATAGGATGTATCAATGAGTAAAGTCCTTTATGTGAGTGAGGTATGTTCATCGGTTTCTTCTTTTAATTGTGAACCATTATTAACCTATTCTAGGAAAAGTCCTAGAATAGGAGATTTTGCTTAGTGAAAGCACTATGTTAAATATTTTTATTTACATAGATATTTATCATTTTTTGTATTGCCTATTATATACTATTGAAAGAGGGGGGGGGAGGCTATTATTTAATTAATAACTTAGTTATACCATTGTTTTATTAGGGTGAAATAACTAAAAGGTCAAAAATATCTTTGGGAACGTGTGGTCATACGTATTTATGTACCATTCCTTCTGCTGAAAGGATAGTAAACTTTATTTAATCTTTCAACCAGAATCGTTGTTTTATTTGGACCTAGGCTTAAGGGGCTGAGGACACTGAATGATTTTTAGAAATCGACACGCCCCCTTGCATAATTACAGGTGTCTACGCTAGTGTGGGTTAGCTCATTGCACGTTCCTCAGAAGAATAACAAATGCCTATCGGTTAAGCGCCAGCAGATAAACTTTGTACTAATAACAATGACGTTTTATAACCATCAAGTGCTTTGAGTTAGCTGTCTAAAGTGCTTACACAATAGGTGGCGCTGAATTTTTTTAAAAGAAAGGAATAATTTCTTTTTACTCCAGATTTTTATGGGGCTTAGAAAGAGACAAGTATGTTTTTTCTTTTTGGGTCGACAAAATAACATGCTATTATTTTGTCTGTTTCATATTTCAGAATTTTATTCTAATTCATTGATATTTTAAAAAATGCTTTGCATTGAATAATGAAAAGATTTAAAATTTAAAGAAATATGAAATAACTATATAAAATCACTTATGATACCACACATCACATCACATTTCTTCACTCGATTTTAAACCTTAATGTAGTGAAGGTAGAGTTAAAATAATTGCGATAATTTGATAGACTGTAGTAACCTGACTTGCTGCTGTGTGTACCTGATAATGTCGGCCAATCAGAATAAACCAAATATCACGTCATGGCACCTAATCCCCGCCGAGTTTGACTGAAACGGACTTTCATACCTTATTCTCATTACAAGAAGAGTCATTATACATTTTAATTGTACGAATTTTTGGAAGGTCGGCTTTACGTAAACGAATCTTCACCATATGCAATATTAATTGGAAGTCATTGTAGTTAGTACACATATCCATATCGAACTTGCCGGAGGAGGAGAAAAAAAGCAATTTTGGAATCGTTTTTATGAGAATATAGGGTAGACGCGCCTGTTTCTACCATTGTCTTGCTGTCGAACATTTCATGGCCCATTTAAAAATAATTAATGCTTTAAGAATTGGACTCTACCTGATCTTTGGACTGGAGTTAATAAAACATATCCTGTTTTCATAACTTGAAGAAAAGTTATTTTTTCCTCTAGCCATGATCCTTTTATGGAGGTGGAATGATATTTTGTAA